GTCTGTCTCCTTACTCGTTCAGAGCAATGGTCTTATTGCTCTTTACCGTATTCAACAACGTTGAGGTAATTCGCATTAAGTTATCGTAAGCTTTTCCGTCCTGATATCCGACCTTACATTGACTACAATCGGTGTATTATCTCTTCAGGAAAGTGACCGAAATTCGAAATGCTCTTCCGGTGAATGTGGAAGAGGGTAATTATGAAATCTTTGGACGATTTCCTGCGGAGAAGCTGATGGGTAGCTAGTCCGGATGCGGTGGAGAGAAGGCTTATACGGGAGGACACCATACTGTCTTTCCTCTGTTAACCAAAGGACTACTATTCGAATATTGCATTGACGAGAGCGATGTAGCCAGAGAGCTTGCATTACATAATCGACATAAGGCCGCAGGACTAGATGGAATACATCCTGATATAGTTCGAACACTAACATGGCTTCTGGCACATCCGATAAATATCCAATTTAGGCAACGGTTGTTGCTCTATACAAGCCAGGACCTAGGCATAAGGCAAGCAAACTACTAACCAATTGGCCTGACATCCGTTCTGTGCAAATGCTTAGAACGGATCATCAGGGGCTAAATATGTAAGCGTCTAACCACCCACAACTTGTTGGCACCAGCGCAGAATAGGTTTACCGAGAGAAAATCATGCCTGACTAACCTGCTGACCTTTTCGGATGAGGTTACTGATAGGCTGGATGAAGGTCAGCAGATCGGAGTCTGCTACTTCGACTTCTGCTGAGCGGAGGGACCGTGTTGGGACAATCTGAGCTCCACAGAGGATACCTGGAACCGAATGAGGGACAACATTGTACTCCTCACGGAGGTCTACGTGCCTGTGAAAACAACGGGGATAAGGGGACACAAACCTTGGCCCCGATCTAGAGTCCGCCGAGCGTGTAAGATGAAAACATCAGGCATGGATGGCGTTCAACAGGCAGCGAAGCCCCCTGCTCTTTGCTTGCTTTAAACGTCTCCGCAATAAAGCTATCTAAGTAGCACGGGCGGCTAGACGCAAGTATGAAATAGTCATAGGCAACGAGGCCTCAAAAACCCCAAAAGATACTTCGCCTATGCTCAAACCCGGTCCTCATCAAGAAAAGTGATCGGCAATGCCCTCCACATTAATGGACAACTCTTGACCACCGACAAGGAAATTGCTGACTCATTCCTCGCTTCATTCCAAGAGGTCTTTCGCCTGGAGAGCTTGAGCAACTACCCTACCCTCGACCGAGTAAGCGACATACCAGATCTGGTGATCTCTACACCGGACTTGGAAAGTCTTTAAGGCTCTTAAAATCTCCAAATCTGAGGGGCCAGATAATATCCACCCAGCCGTCACAAAACTGATAGAATCCTTAATGATCCTCCAACTAGTCACAATGTTCGACGATTCTCTGAACACTGGCCGGATTCCGGAGGATTGGAAACATGCCACAGTTGTCCCAATCTTTTAAGGGGGTGAACAATCGGATCCGTTTAACTATCATCCGATCAGTCTCACCAACATCGTTGCTAAGCTCCTGGAGCGTAATCTACGAGACTACATAAGTGCGCACCTTCTTCAAATCCGTTTCTTTTGCAACACCCAACACGGATTCATCAAAGGTAGATCTTGTCCAAAAAATCTGTTATGTTTCCTGGACGTAGTAACACAGAAATTAGATGATGGAACGGAAGTCGAAGTGTGCTACCTGGACTTCCAGAAAGCATTCGACTCAGTTAACCAAAGGTTGTTAGATTTCAAGCTCCGGGAAACTGGGCTTAATTCGAAAGTCTGTAACTGGGTTAGAGCGTTCTTGTCCGGGCCGACCTACAGGGTGCGGGTGCGGGGAAGTCTGTCGGAGGTAGGTTCCTCCACGAGCGGGGTCCCACAAGGATGCATCCTAGTTCCCCTTCTCTTCGTAGTGTATGTCAACGACATAACATCAGGGCTGAAGAACCTCTTCTTTTTGTTCTCGGACGACGGGTGCTCCTCGCAGAGTGATTTCTTGAAGATGTGCTACTGGTCGCAAAATTGAGACCTCCCATTCAACCCATTGAAGTTTCATCTGCTAGCCAAAATAACGCATCCGTTCCCTCGACAAATCCTCACTACTGTCGGAGTATATGCACCCGGTGCTTATAAGTCAGAGGCAATGATCCTCGGGATAAGTTTCCAACACCTTTTCCCCGTCCTCGACCGCTGTCGTATCGGCCTTGAAATCCAGTCGAGCTCTGTTTAGACTCCGAACGGCAATCACCAACCGCTGCCCCACTGTATTCCTGCCGCTGTACGCAGCCATCGTAAGGCCTCGCCTCAAGTACTCTGTTCAGGCCTGGGCACCGTATCTTCGGAAGGACATCAAAGTTCTAGAAGACGTTCATCGACTAGCAACCCGGATGGTCTGGGGTCAAAAAGGACTCAACCGCTCGGAAAGACTACACTCCTTGAACCTGTTCTGTCTAGAACGCCGACGGATGAGGGGCGACCTCATTGAAGTGCACAAAGCTACCAGAAACATGGAGCAGTCCCCCATTGGGCACTTGTTCACCTTGCGGGCCAACAACATCCTCCGAGGGCACTGTTACACACTGGGAAAACCAGGAGCAGGTTGGTAATTAGATATCACTTCTTTGCAAATAGAGTAGTCCCTACATGGAACAAATTACCAGCTCGAATAGTTGAATGTCCCGCTATTAAGGATTTCAAGATAGAGCTAAACAAGGAGTGGTATCTCTTATTCCCAGATCTGCCCTAGGGATCAGGGTTCCTTTAGTTTACTGATGGAATGCATGTAACAGATACTGCGCCGTCTCCCTTTCCCTTCTACCTTCCAGATATTACTCCCCCGTGGAGAGTCGGAAGAAGCTCTACACTCGCAGGCGAGTCTGTCTACGGACGGAACCCGCCATTACCAGGACACCCAACAGGCGAAGGCTTCTCTACGTCCAGTGATTTGAATTTGACAAGTAACAACTCCGCGATTGAGCTTAAACAGGTAGATGTACCTGATGAAACAAAAGCTTGTTTTGAGTAGAAGAAGATTCGTAGGCAAAATGTGAAAGTACCGTGTTACTACAAGAGGCCTTCGCCAACCAAGCGTCCAGATTGTTGCTCCGGCGGGAGGTTGCTTCTCCCAAAGCATCGAGCTCGTTTTTAGTAACGGTTGTGGGAAGACTGTTTTCACTTTGCGAAAGTTCATTTACAATGCCAAGGTAGCACGAACAGCCCCAAGACCTTTCAGTGGCGTGTCCTAGGTGAGGGAAGAGCTCTTCGTCAGGAGCTTTGCGTTGACTTGAGCGATAAATTGCATCGAAACGGTAATTTGAGGTGTCTAGGCTGAAGTTTAGACATTAATCTGCTGTTGCGTCGGTTCTATAATTGGCTCTATCGGACGCTGCCTCACGCGGTTCTTTAGTCTTTCGGATGTTGTATAATTTTGCAACGTTTTTTGCCAAATTAGTTTTACTGAAAACCCAACTCAACTGCTTCAGAAGACGGAAAGCCCAGAATTTATTCAGCTAGTGATTTGAACAAAAACTGTTCAGAGGGATGTAGAACTATTATAAAACACGACTAATAAACGATAGCAACCAAAACCGCCCCACTGTAGTGTAAAGTGGATGATTGATGATTGTAAAAACAGGGAATTGGCACAAGCGATTTAACATGACAAATTATTTTCCAGAATGTTAGTTTAACGAGTAATTAAAAAAAAACAATTTGCTGCAGGTGGCCCTTTTCAAATCTTGATAACTTGAGTAGATGCGCTTTACTTAAATAGGCTCTGTTGGACAGCCAGTGATGATATCTTACGGCGTGGTGAGCTATATCTGTGACTAAAAGCTGTGAGTATCCATAATATGAGGATATGGAAATCCTGACCAATAGACTTACATAGGTCGCAAAGGGCCCCCTGGGTGAGAACATTGGGATCAGCGCAATCAATGGTTATGGACACTTAGTGATATGGCTAAGTGTCGTAATTATTCGCGTTCGTGTATTTAATCAATTTCTTTGAATTCTCGAATTATCTACCCATCACTTCTACTGTTTGCTCTATCATTCTACTCGTTCTTGCTCCGTCACTTTCACCTAGTTACTATTTACCTGACTTCCTCTTGGAACGAGGGTTTTCAATTTCAGTTTGAACAACCATTAACAATGCACTTTCGTGCGCCAGTTTTGCTTGCTATCTTTTAGTTGCTCATTTGGATGAATAATAGGAGAAGAAAAGAAAGTTGAAGGTAGAGTCAAACATAAAATGGAGAAGTTCAGTGGTCTAAGATTGCAAAGAAATTGAGGTGCAATAACGTCATCGTTTAGGACACCCAGCGATATCATTCTAACCATCGGTTACAATCATGCCGAGGTCCCCAGCCAGGGAGCCTAACGGGACCTATGTGAACCAGACTCCTCGTTAGGGTTTTCATACCCTCATGCCAGGTCTTAGCTTGGCTACCTTTGGCTTTTTTCCACTCGGTATCTGCTTCGGTGAACATCACTCGCCGTGGCAATCTTTTTGGTGACATGCGTAACACATGCGCCAACCAACGTAATCTACGGAGATCGACCACTTGCGCCAGTGGGTGACCGCATTTACGCGAAACTCTTCGCCTAACCTCAGCATTGCTCGCCCGGCTTCTCCACCAGATTCGTACAATGCTGCGTAGACAGCAGTGTTCAAACACCAGCAGTCCATCTTTATCCCGCTTCCTTGATGGAAGTAGGCACAGGACGTATAATTTGCAATCTGTTTCTATATCTTTATGATGCCTTTCGAGTTTTACCGCATATATTGACTTTCAACTTGGGTTTGTTAGGCATCCGTTTTACCGCAAATTCGGAAGTTCGACTTGTTTTCGAATGTTTTGTTTGTCCTGTTGATCAGTTCTAATGCCCTCATTTGTTCGGGACATTTTTTGTAATCATCTAGATGGGCGATGGGTTGAAAACTTTGATTTCCCTGTTTGTGATCTTTCCTGTTGTTCCTTTTACGCTCACAGTTTCCCGATGGGCTCTCATGCTCGTTCACTTGCCGGTGTAACCGCATGGAAATTATTAACAGGCCTTTGCATTCGTCGTCCCACAGTTATCACGCCGTCTCTCACACCAATTCAAAAACAAATGAGTGACATGCTAGATATGGTGGAATTCGAACGTAGCCATCTATCTGCTCATGAATTGCGTGCGAAAACCGAGGCTGCTCGATTACGGCAAACCCAAGGGAAAGGCCAAAAAGCTATTCGTAACACCAATTCAGAGGAGTCCCTTGTTACTGCCCATGAACAAGAATTGTTGTGGCAAGCGGAAGAGATCAAATTTCGACCGGCAGAGAGATTGACTAGTAAGTTACTTAGGAGAAACGGTAAAAAGTTCTGCCACTATCCTTTCTCTTATTATTTGTATCCCCATTCCGCCTCTTAGTTTCACTTTCTGGTTGATTACTGAGGTCTAACGCCTATTGCTCATGCTTTTATCGGAAATACAATAGTATTTTTAGTTTTGATCATCATCATCGTGCAGCGAAATACAGTGAGGCGAACTTCATGGATCGCTGCCAAACTCGCAATGCATACAAGGTTAGTGGTAAAGTTTAAGGTGGACAGGGATTGGACCTATTTTGAGGGAGGGGGAACAAGGTGAACCTCTATGGTCAACACACAGAGTGCACAATCGAACTCTGCATACATACCTTTCAAGCATTCTGACCTGACAAGAAACGACAACAAGAACGCCACTGCTGTTGGTTCGCTGCCATATCTATAAATGTCTCCAACCGACTAGTTGTAGAGTCTTTCGGACCCCAACCTGGAAGACGGGAGACACCGATTCTACCTAATCGCTCTGCGAATTTCTTCATGCCTCGTCTCCATGTCATCTGCTTACCTCCACGCGGTTTCCTCCAGCCCCGATTAGCTACAGAGAATAAGCCGCGGTGCGGCAGGCGAAAGCTGGGCATACGCAATACATGCCCTAGCCAGCGAGGTCTACTAATCTGAATTCAGTGTGCTAGCAGGTTCATACCTGACAGACTCCCAAACACACGACAGCTTACCTCCACGTTACTAACCCTTTCGCTCCATCCAACGTAGGTTAAACTGCGTAAACACCGATAATCGAAAACTTCTAATCGACGGATATCTTCTACTCGCAAATTCAGGGTCTCACAGCCATAAAGCACGAACTTCTAGTCGACGGATATCTTCTACTCGCAAATTCAGGGTCTCACAATCATAAAGCAGGACTGAACGAACGCTAGCACAATATAAACAACCTTTCAACTTCAGTGAAACGTCGCGTCTACGCCGAAGGTGTTTTAGTCCTGTGTATGCTGCTCGAGTCTTGGAAATGCGGGCGTTTATCTCTTTTGCTGCACTACCTAAGTAGGAAAAGAAATCCACCACAACTAAATCCTGGCCATTTAGTTTCAGAGTG